GGAGGGAAGGGAGGACAGGGGTGGGGCAGATGAGGGGTGGACGGGCACGCACTCTCTCTCTCTCTCCGTCTCTCTCTCTCTCTCTCGCACACACACACACACACACACACCTAAGGAGCACGTTGTTAGGACAATTCCTTTCCATCTTGCCACAAGAGTCATCAACAGCAGATCGCCTTGGTGTGTTCATGGATAGCAAATCACCTCAGTGAATTGGTGTAAAGCAACTTCCTTGAAGAGAGCTCAAAGCAAACATAAAAGAGGGCTGGAGAGTATGGGGATAGGGCAGGGGAAATAAATGACTAGGGAGTGATAAAGAGATACAAACAAGGGCAACGACATTCATCTGTTTACCACAACAACATGGCTAAAGCTCATAACAGACTTTTACCAGATTAGCATTCCCTGCGCGTTCTCCATAGCCATTCATGCACCCCTGAACGATCGTAGCACCTGCTCGCACTGCTGCCAGACTATTTGCAACTGCAAGATCACAATCATTATGAGTGTGTATTCCAATCCTCACATTCGGCCACTCTGAAAGCGCTTCTTGTGTAGCTGTTACTATCGCCTGCAGCAGCAGCACATTCACCAAACAGAGGAAGCATCAACAAACTGTTCAATCTCCATTCTTTTATTCTCCCATCAAAAACATCCACTACCTTCTAACAACCTGGGCCAACCCCTGCAGACAGGGCACAGAAACCTGTGGCCATCAGATCGTCAATCCGGCAGATCAACCGAAAAAGGGTGGGCCTCCTGTAACCAGGACAGTTAGAAATGGTGGTGGTGCTTTAAAGGGGGCCTTAAACCACCAGTACTTCTGCCATCCATTTTTCTCCTATGCGGGGTGCATGCGGCTGCAAGTTTCGGAGGTTGGACTACTTGAGCAAAATGGCTGGCGGTGCCGGCCAAAAGAAGGGCCACACCGGTTCGTTTTCTTTGGCGCAAAGGGCATTTCGAGGCTACCTCCGAGCCTCTTTTTCCCGACACAGATTTGCACTGCGTGCCAAAGAAAAACGAATCACCAGCGGCGCATTTTTTTCCTTTTTTGGCTGGCGCTGTCAGCCATTTTGGTCCAGTAGCACTGTTCATCCAAAGCCTTCAGATTGAGTCGATTTTGATTCTCAAGTTGCCTGGGGAGGGTACTGGCGGTTTAAACGCCATAACAGGTCTTTTCAGTCACAGACTCACAGGTACATTTTGCCTGAAAGCACAGCTCTCTCTCTCTCTCTCTCTCTCTCTCTCTCTCTCTCTCTCTCTCTCTCTCTCTCTCTCTCTCTCTCTCTCTCTCT